ATATATATATATATATATATAATGGTCTATCAATAGATACTTAATGTAAACTGACATAGAGTTCCGGGAGAAGGAATCGAGCAAACTGAGTCGTATTTTGCTTGGTAATTCGTCCTTAGCAGAGGAATCATTTTAAAAATGTAGAGTAGTACGAAAATAAAATCAAGAATGAGAAATAGTATCTAAAGTGAATATTACTGCTCTCATGTGAACTCTGTCAAAATTTGCCAACGTTAGTGAGAACATGGAATATCCAGCAGATGAAAGACCTGCTGAAGTGACATAAGAAGGGAAATAAAGTGGATTGCCTTGAAAGTTGTCGTATTACATGCAGCAACGGTGGGCAGAGGTACACCGACTATCGGGAGAAATGGAAAACATGACGAGGAGGGGATATTCAATCGGGTGGTAGGCAACAGAAAATTGGTTGCACTTGGTGAAGATGTGAAAAAACGCTAGATTAAATGGGCCTAAAAAAGAGGAGTCCGAAAAGAGGCAAGATTAGTAAAATCTTTCTGCATTGTTTGAGTAAACTGAGAGGAGTTGAGGACAATGGCAAGATGAGCTAAAAGAAGAAAGTGATGACAAGGAGGAGGCTGACGAGGAGCGATGTCTGAAGTCAGCCAAGTCAAAGCAAGTAAACCACTCCAAAATTTGGTGTCGGCAGACATGGACCCAACTGGGAAATAGAAAAGTCAGAGACTTGGTATTCTGGAAGGGAGTCGAGACCAATTTAGCCATAGCGAAATGGCTCTCGGAACTCCAGTTTGCCGCTAAACACAGTCGGTGAAACAGAGGCTCTACCGCAAGACTCGCCCAATACACGGGCTGAAGGGAATTGGGAAAAAGTAGAGCGTTAAGTTCATGTACAGAAGATATATTCATCACATGTCGCGTAGAATGATGAAAGATTGGCACACAATCATATGAGGGTTGCTGGGGTGTGCCGATGGCATCGAGAAGATGTTGAGACTGTCGTCCAGTCAAGTCTGGACGAGAATAGCTTTTGGGAAACCATTCAATGTGGAATTGAATGGAAACTGAAAGCAAATTCATTTGATTTCGGCAAAATTCGACTACCAGTCCTTCATCAGCTTGAACGAAATTGGGTGTTCAAATCCTAAACCAAATACCAAATATAAGCGTAAATCAACTACAAAGTATTACATCATCAATTATCTACTTCATGAAATTGGTGCTTCGGTCCAAGTGTTTCCTTCATAAAGACAAGATATTTTCCTACCATATTCCTTTTAATTGTTTGATATTATCATTGTTCCTAGGGCAATAATGCCCATTTTCTTGTCGAACCTCAAATCGGTTGCAAGAACATACACTCCAACAAGAACAGAACGATCAAACAAATCTAAATAAACAATTTCATTTCAGTGTGGTATTTATAGAAAAGCTTGAGTCGGCCAAACTGGATAAAAGTAATATTTGAGAGTTCGTCTAAAGATATATCCATTCTATTCTATTCCATTTCATTTTATTGGCACAATAATATGAAGGTTGCTAAGCTGTGCCGATGGCATCGAGGCGAGGTCGAGACTGTCTTCCAGTCAAGTCTGGACGAGAATAGCTTTTGGGAAGCCAGTCAATGTGGAATTGAATGGAAACTGAAAGCAAATTCATTTGATTTCGGCAAATTTCGGCTACCAGTCCTTCATCACCTTCATCATGTAAGTACAAGTCGTGTTCAAATCCTAAACCAAATACCAAATGAAAGCGTAAATCACTTACAGAGTATTACATCATCACTTATCTACTTCATGACATTGGTACTCCGGTCCAAGTGTTTCCTTCATGAAGACAAGCTAGTTTCCTACCAGATTTATTTTAATATAGTCATTTGATTGATATTCTCATTGTTCCTAGAGCAATAATTCCCATTGTCTCGTCGATCCTCAAATCGGTTTCGAAACTGGTATCGTTGGGCTGCAAGAGCATACACTCTAACAAGACCAGAACACTTAAACAAATCTAAATAATCACTTTCATTTCAGTATTGTATCTATAGAAAAGCTGGAGTCGGCCAAACTGGGTAAAAGTAATATTTGAAAGTTCATCTAAAGCATATATTCATTCTATTCTTTTCCATTTCGTTTCATTGGCACAATCATTTGAAGGTTGCTATGGTGTGCCGATGGCATCGAGGCGACGTAGAGACTGCTGTCCAGTCAAGTCTGGACGAGAATAGCTTTTGGGAAGCCAGTCAATGTGGAATCGAATGGAAACTGAAAGTAAATTCATTTGATTTCGGCAAAATTCGACTACCATGTACGAAATAGGTCGTTTTCAAATCCTAAACCGAATACCAAATGTAAGCGTAAATCAACTGGCAAGTATTGCATCATCCCTTATCTACTGCATGGCATTAGTGCTGACAATAATTCGTCAATTATTCCAGCCACGACTTTGTGATGTCACAGCCAGTTACCCATTTCTGCTGTTGGTACAGCTATTTTCCGCTGCACCCTTTGTCCCTCCGATAGGCATCTACGAGGTTCGCACATCCGGTCTCCGACGCCTCTCCTGTCTCGACCGATTCGGATCGTCAAGTTGATCTGACCTGTGCAACTCGTGTGGCTCGCAACGCCGTCCGAGTTCGCTCGACCACCTCGGAACCGACCCAATTCCGCTTTCCCCCTCAACGCCCAGATACACCGGGTCAGGTTGGGGCATTAAAAAAAACAAACATTGGGACAACAACATTTTGCGGGGGCTAGCAACCGCCGGCTAGCCAGGCTACGTCTGATAAACGATGACAACCGGGCGAGTGACAGGAAGTGACAAAATGTTGCCTGTATGGACCGAAAGACGATGAGGCCAGACAAGACGATACAATTGAGGCATCACGAGTTCGACAAAATGGATGTTATAAGCAGGAAGAGGACGAAAAACATGCAGTCTATCTGGTGCTTGTATCTGGTGCAGCGGCAGAACTCCTCCCCTGGTCCCTCCTTCGAGTCACCTCTCGCCCCGACGACTTCCTGTTCGGCCCCGTGACAACGTCAGAGAGAGAGAGAGAGAGAGAGAGAGCAACAATTGTTCTCTCGTCGAACTTCACCAGCGTGGGAAGCGGATGTCGTTTACGTGTGCTGTGCACACACAAACACGCACAAACATGCATACAGGCAGGCGAACGGCCAACAACAAAGCCTTTGTCCCTTCATACAGACAGTATCGTCGAGATGTCCAGCTGCAAGTGTGACAAGCGTTCACACTTGAAAAGGAGCCTGCCAACCGTTCTCTTGTCTTGCCAAGGCATTACAAAAGCACACTTTAGAAACGTAACAACAGGTCAATCGAGAGAAAACAAGATCAACTGGGTCAGCACAGTGATTAGTTGAGGCATGAGGTGCCATGCCGATGGCTTCCTTGTCCCGGATAAGCTGGTCACTGTGAGAATCGATAGACAAAGACTAATCCACAAACATAATCGCCTGTCTCTATCCCCATACTGGACTGTGAACATGACAACCTGACCACATTTCATTGGCACACAAGTCGATGATAAATTCCAGCGGCGAATAATTCGGTAAGCTTGATCTATTGTATTCTATTCTATTCTATTCTATTCAAATATCCTCGAGCCCGGTTCACTACGGTCCAACTGTTTCCGTCATGAAGACAAGATATTTTGCTATTAGATTGCTTTTAATACAATCAATTGTTTGCGCGATTCTCATGGTTCCTAGGGCAATAATACCCATTGTCTCGTCGAACCTCAAATCGGTTGCAAGAGCATACAGGCCAACTAGATCGGAACGATCAAGCAAATCTAAATAATCACTTTCATTTAAGTGTGGCATTTATATAAAAGCTGGAGTAGGCCAAACAGGATAAAAGTAATATTCGAGAGTGCATCTAAAGGATATATCCATTCTATTCTATCCCATTCCATTCTATTCCATTCTATTCCATTCTATTCCATTCTATTCCATTCTATTCCATTCTATTCCATTCTATTCCATTCCATTCCATTCTATTCCATTCTATTCCATTCTATTCCATTCTATTCCATTCTATTCCATTCT